TTGGAGACATGGTGTCACTGAGTTGCTTAGGTCTTGCTAGGTTGCTAAGACTGGCTTGGACCATCTTTCTTTTTTGGGGGGGAAGTGGGGGTCATACCAGGAATTGAACCCAGGGGTGTTTAACCACTGAGCCACATCCCCAGCCCCCTTAAAAAAAATTGTATTTGGAGACACTGAGTTGCTTAGGCCTTGCTAGGTTGCTGAGGCTGGCTTAGACCATGTTTCTTTTTCTTTTTCTTTTTTTTTTTTTTTGGTGTGTGTGTGGRGGGGGTAGCATATCAGGAATTGATCCCAGAGGTGCTTAACACTGAGCCACATCCTCAGCCCTTTTTAAATTTTTTTATTTGGAGTTAGGGTGTCACTGAATTGCTTAGGGCCTTGCTAGGTTGCTGTGGCTGGCTTTGAATTTGCAATCTTCTTGCCTCAGTCCCACGAACCCTTGGTGCACAGGCATGCACCACCATGGCCCAGCTAGACTATCATTCATAACTTCATTGAGAATTTAAAAATTCATCAGGCACAGTGGCACGTACCTGTAATCCCAGAAATTTAGGAGGCTGAAGCAATTTAGAAGACTCAAAGGTGAGGAAGAGTGAGAAGGAAGATCAAGTTYAAGGCTAGGCCCTAGGCAACTTAGTGAGACCCTGACTCAAAATATAAAATAAAAAGGGCTAGGGATGTTGCTCACTGGTAAAGCATCCTGGGTTAAATCCTCAGCACATCCCCTCACCCCCTAAAAACCTCAAACATCCAAAGAAGCGCTATATTAGTGTTTAGCTAATCTCAGCAACTCAGAAGGTTAAGGCAGAAGGATTTGAGTTCAAAGCCAGCCTCACCACATAAGCAAAGCACTTGGCAACTCCACAAGACCCTGTCTCTAAATAAAATATAAAAAAGGGCTGAAGATGTGGCTCAGTTGATTAAGTACTCCTGGGTTCAATATATATATATATATTACATACACATAGCTATATATAGCTATGTGTATATACATAGCTAATGCAATGTGTTATTCAATGTGTTTATGCTACTTTTGAAGTCAGGAATAACTGACTAAATAAAGAAGTCCACCTTCCAGCCTGAGACAGTAGCTTTACTGATATTTTTTTATAATAATTCTTAGAAATATTTCAAATTATGAGTTGGGTTATTAACACTGAAGTAGTTAAGTCCTTGCTACTCAGAGGGGAAGTTTCTTGTGCTGTAACATTAAACTTCCCCACTGGTTTCCTGAAAGTCAGTTGAATCCAACCTTCCTTTAAATAAGATCCTCTTGAACTAACTAGAGTCTCTAATCTACTCCTCCCCCATGTTCTTTTAGATCCCCAAATTCCCCTTCTCACCAACAGCATCTGCCCCCAGCTGCTGCAGCAGKCGACTCTCTGCCACAGTCTCAAAGCTGGGGCCTGCCACCATCACATAGGTGCCTTCCTGTAGCTCTCGATTCTCTCCCATTAGTTTCCAGGTACTGAGAGCCTTCTCCCTCATGTTCCGGTCATAAGCATCAGACATGGCAGGGAAACGAACTCCAAACCTAGGGCATAAGTTGTTTTATCTCAGAAACATGGACTTTCTCACAACTCCTAGAAAAGTCCTGAAACCCTACACTCAAGAGCCAGATACATACCTTTCATCATTAGGCCCTTTGAGAGGGTTCTGACCACCCAAACCAGGTAGGTTGATGTGATCACGAATCAGCATGATATCCCCAACCTCGAAACTAGGGTTGAGCCCTCCAGCTGCATTGGTGACCACCAAGGTGTCCACACCMAGAAGCCGGAAAACCCTCACAGGGAATGTCACCTTAGAAGAAAAAGTTAGAAAAAGTTTTCTCAAACGTTCACCATCTACTTAGGCAGATGTGCATAATACATGAAAGATGAAAAGGGGAACCAAAAAAGTGTATGTCGCCCAAAGAGCTAGGCAATAAAAGAGTAGTTCTCTTCCACTTCTTCCAGACCCAACCAGCCCTCTGCCCCTGATTACCTTCCAGAGGGGGTAGCCTTCATATGTGTGGAATCTGCCTTGCATCATCACACAGGCCTTGTCATTCAGGAACCCAAACACCAGTCGGCCAGCATGACCTGGCACTGTACACAAACAAAAGGGAAAAAGAACAGTATTATGCTCTCATATAACACAGAACCTTTGGGGACCTACTAGGAGCCACTCTCTCCCTGTGCTTAACACATTAAGGTTATAATTAAACAAAAAGCATTAAGTCTGGTGGAAAGACAGGCAATTATAATCATAAAAATGTATCCTGAGATTAGAGCTATGTGGGTAAGGATGCTCCATATGAATATATGGAGAAAGAGCAAAAGGCTTTTTAAAGCAGTTTCAGTCAGTGCTGTGGTATATACCTGTGGTCCCAAGCAACTTAGGAGGCTAAGACAGGAGGATCACAAGTTTGAGGCCAATGCAAGCGATTTAGAGARACCCTGTCTCAAAAAAAAAAGCCAGAGTAGGGGGGGTGTAGCTTGGTGGTAGAGAACCTGTGGGTTCAATCCCCAGAAMTGCATACAAAAAAATATATWTTTTTTTTCCCAAATGAATGAGAAAGACATACGAAAGAAAGTAAAAGTGACTAAGAAATAAAGTTGGTGATAATGAATGCAGTAATTATAGGCTTTTCCAACATTTTTTAAATTCTTAAAATAAACCCAGACATGCTGGTTCAGGCCTGTAATCCTAGCTGTTTGGGAGGCTGAAGGTAGGATTGGCAGTTCAAGGGAGCYGGGACAAGATAGTAAAACCCAGACTCAAAAAATAAAAAGGGCTGGGGAGATAGTTCATTGGAAGATCACTTGCATGAGGCCCTGGGTTTAATCACTAGTACTGAAAAAGAATATCCTTGTATTGTGCTAACGAAAGGATATGCCTCTTCATTCCAGCTCAGGTATACATTGTCTTCCTAAAGAGGAGCCTACTGAACAAGGGGGAAAGAGGCTGAATTTGGGACCATGCAAATCTTCCTTATGACGCACAGTTCAGTTTTGTGGGAATGCATGCCAAGGTAGGTATACGTGGCAACTGGAATACAGATAACTCCCCACAAACATAACCATATCACCATTTCCCTCTTCTGACAGCCCCTTCTAATGGATGGCCAATTTATCCCTGAGGGTATGAATGGTCTGGGAGAGGGGCCAGAATCAAGAGGAAGTGTTAAGGGCTACACAAACAAAATTTATCTTAAAAAAAAAAAAAATTAGTAGTGCTGGGTGTGGTGAGGCATACCTATAATTCCTGAGACTCATAAGGCTAAGGCAGGAAGATAATAAGTTAAAAGCTAGCCTCAGCAACTTAGCGAGACCTTGTCTCAAAATAAAAAATAAAAAGGGCTGGGTATGTACCTCCGTAGTAAAGCACCACTGAGTTCAATCTCTATTTCCAAAAATTTTTAAAAATTTAAAATAAATAAGTAGTAAAAGCAAAGAAAACCTACGTAGAATATGAAAAATAAAAAGACTGATAAAAACTCAATTATCACTTAGTGCAATATCCTGCTCACTGGAGGCAGCAGTCACATGGCAGGTGGAGCCAATGTCACTACCCTCTCCCTCTGAGAACTATGCCCTTCCTCTTTCTATTTTTTCCTTTTCCAACCCCCATTCCCACAGCTGCCTGCTCTGGTCTCTGTCTTGTTCCAAAGGGTTTTTTAAGTATTTATTAAAAGTCATAACTCTGTAGAACTCTGCAGAGAAAAGAGGAAGAAAGATAGAAACCTAAAAAATTAATAAATAAACCAAGGGAAGTTAGTTTTTTGAGAATAAGTAAACCAAATAAACCACCCTGTCCTTTACTTATCCCTGTTTCACCTAGCCCTTTTCTAACTTAGCGTTAGAGCTTTCTGGCTGCTACAGGAATACTAGATTTGCTATCTTCTCACCCCTCAATTCCCCATTATGTGTGGGGAACATCCACCTCCATCCCCTTCCAAAGGGTCCGTGTGAATCAGACCTTGTGCAATCATGTATTAATCTAGTGTCTGTAAGAACATGGTCCACATCTCTTATCCTAGGCCTGGAGCTAGAGTTGGGGGAAATGGCAGGAAGACACTGGACAGAAGCCTGAYCTTGTCCTGGGAGGCTACAGGCATTGTTTCTGTTTTGCTGCAGGCTGGAGGGGTGTATATAAGTGGTAATGATAGTATATGGGAGGAAGCACATGTGGGGACGATTGTAGAGCTATTGTAAGGAGCTGAGTCAGTAAAGCACAGAAAGACATCATCATACTCACAGTGACACACACATGCCCTATTATGGGATTTCTATGAGGAGAATTCTCTTCTCAAGTCATTCTGATTATAGTAGTCTTTTTTCCCTCTCTTACAACATTTTTTTGAAGTCAAATGCTAGGTCTAGGTGTAGACACATTGGTCTCCCCTGGCTGAGTTCCACAGACTTCCATCAGAATACCTCAGTCCTATCCCCCACTTCCCCTTGCTAGTACCTGTGCTTTGGGGAAAGTTTGGTATCTCACTATAGTCAAAGAACTGGGCCTCAGTTAATTTATTGGTCAGGCCCCCTAAGCCAGAACCACAGATCACTGCCACTTGAGGTCGGTGCTTGGTACGAGAGAGAAGCCATTCTGCAGTCTTCTTATAATCTTCATATGTGAATCTAGGGAACAAAAGGAAAATAAAGTCAATTCTCTCATTCCAAAGGCATCATAGACAAATGACCATCAGTACAGAAAAAGGTTGGCAGGTATACCAGGGCAACAGGGACAGAGAAGCTGGCCAAGAAGAAGCTATACTATGTTTACTGATCACTCACCACCCCTCTTTTGAATCAGGCCCACTGAAGTCTAGTGTGTGACTCTTTCCATTGTAGTGCCTGGCAAAAGTTAGTGAACCTGTGTCCACTAACAGCCTCAACTTCAATGCTGTTAACACCACCAAGTTTGTTTGCTGCTGCTGCTTCTTTTTTTTTTTTTCTTTTCAATCCTGAGGGTCAAAACCCAGGGCTTCTCACATGCCAGGCAAGCATGCCAGCCCTGGGATATATCCCCAGCACAGGCAGGTTTAATAGCTCTCCCTTGTGACAAAGATTTAGAGAGGAGAACCACAGGGTGCAGAGAAGTACAATGGAATAATCAAATCAAGGTAGGTAAGGCTAAGGAGAGCACTCAAAATGGAATTGAGCCCTTCCTGAGGGCAGTAACAGACCTAATACAATCTTTCTTAGTACCCTATCTATTCCTTTGGGGCACTCAAAATGTAATTAAGACTAATGACCTTGAAGACAGAAATAAGCCAAATTTCCTTTTAGATCCTCACCCTCTAGCTTCTTCCTCAGCCAAAAAACTTAACACTATTTTTTTTCTTTCTCTCTCTCTCTTTTGCAGTGCTGGGGACCATACCAGGGCCTCATGAATACTAGTTAAAACTCCACACTGAGCTGCCACACTCTCAGCTTTCATTTTTGTTTTTGTTTGTTTGTTTGGGAGCACTTCTATGCACCATTCTTAGTTCCCTGGATCATCATTTCTGGGATTCCTAAGCCAGCACAGACCTTTATCATATGGTAATTGCAAAGGTACCCAAGATCAGACACTAAACTATTGCAAAAAAGCCGACTCAATCCACAACACCAACAAAGGTTATAGGACTGACCATAACTCTCAGAAGCTTGTTAAAAATGCAGATTCCAAGCCAGGCGTAGTGGCACACGCCTGTAATCCCAGCAACTAGGAGGCTGTGGCAGGAGGATAGCAAGTTCAGCCTAGACAATTTAGTGAGACACTGTTTCAAAATAAAAAATAAAAAGGGCTGGGGATGTAGCTCTGTTACACTCAGTGTTTGAAACTTACTTTTGCTTTCCTTCTGTGATTCTTTCTTTCCTCCTGTGTCTCCTTTCTTTCTTTCTCCTGCCCCTCCTCCTCTCCCCGCCTGCTCCCATCTTCCCTTCACATTAMCCTTCAGGGACCAAAGGGCATATACACTTACCCAGAATCCCTATGCCTCCAACAAAAATCAATCCAGAAATTTCTCAGTTTCATGTCCAATCTCTCACACCCATCTTGAAAGATCAAAGATTGTTCTCAGAGGTGGAACAATGTTGAACACAACTAAGCAAGCCTCCAGAGGAAATTTTTCTCTTTAAAAGCAGAGCCTAGGAACTGGGTACCTCAGTGTCCACTTGTAGTCTCAGATACCCAGGTAGCTGAGCTGGGAGGACTGTTCCAGTCCAGGAGTATGCGACCAACCTGGACAATATTGTAGGACCCCACCTCAAAAACAGGTCTATCAATCCATCAGAGCCTAGGAAACCAGATATGACAATAAACCAGGCTATTCTCAGGGAAATGACTAGGTAAGAGCTGGGTGGAAGCAATAGAGGTACAAGGTGATGCAAAGAAGCAAAAAAGTCGGCAAGAAATTAGTCAACTAGCATCCCCCCAGAGGTGCAAAAAAGGAACTGAAAGAACTGTTAACCATGGCCACTTGGCACGTCTCACTCACAGCTCATAGGACTTCCTCATTCATGATCTGTCCCCCAAGAATACCTTGAATTCCTAATTATCCAAAGCCACTGTGATCCCTAATGTTATGTTGATTACTTGGACTGGGAATTTCACAACCAAGAGAGAGAAGGGTTTTTCAAAAGTGTGGGAAGGAGTGGTTACTTGTCTGTTGCTGAGCTCAGTGAATAAATATTTCCTTCGACACTCCATTCACCACCTCCAATTTGGAGGACCTCCAATTTGGAGGGAAAGGAGGAGCAGCTAGGGAAGTGAGCATTCTTTCCTCTAAAGCAGAAACTAAGAATTCGCCCTCTGAAAGTACCTGGCGCTTTACCCAGACTCTAGAATGGGGATTTGTGAAGAGCATATGGGGTGGGAGACCTCCTCCCTGGTATGGAGTTGGGGGTATACTTCCCTCTCGACTTGCACTCCTAGTGCACGCGCGCGCGCACACGCGCACACACACACACACACACACACACAGACACGGACCACAACAGTCCCTTAGAGTAGCCACACTACACAAACTTGTCCCCTTCCTGTTCTGGCGGCGCTACCCAGCTCGATTCCCGCGCGCGCCGGCTCTGGCTGCCCCACTGTTCTGTTGCCTTGACCCAGACACGAGGCTTCGTGCCAGGCCTCTCTGCATCATCAGGGCACTCGCTCCCTCCCCCGGCCACCTCTGGGCCCCGGGTGCCAAGTTCCCAGGTCTGAGTGACAGCCATTTCCCCTCCCCAGGGCCTCCCGGGTCCCCTGGCCTCACTCGTTCTCCATGGAGCTGCCGACTCCCTGCCAAAGATSCTGCCGGTCTTCGCTGGTTCTGCTCGGTTGAGCTGCGTGGCCGTTGCGGTAGCCGAGTCTGGTCCGCACAGTTAGGGCACTGTTCTCCGGGCGCAGTCTTATATCCCCAATCCCGGGAGTCCACAGCCAATGGCAGCTGAGCACGCCGGCCAGCCCCGTCTCCATGGTGACACACCCGGATTCAATCGCCCCAGGCTGGGCTGTAAATCTAACCAGAGTTCTTTCCAGAGCTGGTCCCTCTCCTCTTTAGAGGCATCCAGCCTTTCCTCCCTGAACCCATTTCCGTTCTCAGGGTTAGGGTTTTCAGCAAAACAGGCCTACGTGGAGGAGGGGTAGAAGAAGGGTGGAGAGCTCCTGAACTGCCTATCTTCATTCCGGACTGTGTGTACAGCAAGCCGTGAGGGATTTAAAAAGAGAAAAATTTTAAACCTTAGACTGTGAAACCGCAGAATAAAAATGAAGGGAGCCTTGTCCCCTGGACAAGGGAAGCCGGGTATAACAATGATGACTTGGAGGTTGCAGAGGTTGCAGAAACACATCCAGGCCTAGATTCGAAGAAGAAAAACTATGGCAAGAATTCTAGGATCCTAGACCCAGACAGGATGGATGGCCAAAGTGTGGTTGCGTTCATTTTATTGGATCCAGGCAATTAGGATAACAAGACAAGGAATTATCCCGCGATGAAAATTCCTGCAAAAGACAACACAGTAGAACATCTTTGTAAGAATTAAGCTATTTCTTCTCCCACTCTTACAAGTTTAACAAACCTCACATCAAATTATATCTCAACAGCCCTTGCTTAGCTATTGGAATCCTCTACTTTTTCTCTCTCCTATCTCTAATCTTTCTTGTTTGCCATTTTACCCACCACCATTGCTCAAGTCACTGTTTTCTAATCCTGTTTTTCTCATTCATTATGCAAATATTTATTGAACATCAACCATGCACCAGAACAGTCCCAGTGCTGTGAACACAAGAGTGAAAATAATATCTGTAAAGAAAAACCAGTATATGTAAAGAACTGGGCCCAATGCCAAATAAGTGGTTTATTCTATCATCATCATAATTATTATATTAATTAGTACCTGGCAATTATTGTTATTGCATTATTAGTGCTATTGTTACTATCCTAGTAATTTTTATTACTATCTAGTAATTTTAGCAATGATAACAGCAGCATGATTTGTCTCATTACAAAAGCAAAACTTTCTTTCAAATCATACTGTGTCTCAGTGGAATATTGAAAGCATTATTTAAAATAATGGAGACCAGTCATAAGTAAAAAATCAGTCCAAGGAAATATCTATCAATATTTGATTGCTGAACAGTTTTTTAAATTCCCCAAATCTAATCCAATTTACATAGAAGATATGATTAGAACATAATTATGCCTAAGGAAGTTCAAAGCTAATCAATTAATTTTAATGAACTCTTGCCTAAAGGAAGTGTATTTATTTTTATTTTTTTGTACTGGGGATTAAACCCAGTAGGGCTTAATCACTGAACTATATCCTTAGAGCCACCACGATCACCACCACCTTTTTTTTTTTTTTTTTAAATTTTGAGACAGGGTTTCACTAAATTGCTTAGGGCCTCTCTGTATTACTGAGGCTGCTTCAAACTTGCAATCCTTCTTCCTCAGCCTCCCAAATCATTGGGATTATAGGTGTGCAACACCACAACCCAGAAATTAAGTGTATTAAAATCACAAAGCCTAATGCCCTGAATACACCTGTAATCTCAGTTACTCCAGAGACTGAAGTAGAAGGATCAAAAGTTTGAGGTCAGCCTGGACAATTTAGGGAAACTATGTCTCAAAGTAAAAATAAGTTAAAAAAGAAAAAAAAAAGGCCGGGGGTGTTGGCAGGGATGTAGCTCAGTGATTGAACCCAGTTATCACAAAAAATCAAAATTAAAAAGTCACAAAAATATGATCTGCCATATTTATCTACAAAAGGAAAACTGAGGAACAAGTTCAACTTTCTGTAGTGTTTCTCCAACTTTCTGTGAGGAACAGTTTGATTTACGTCTTACTACAGAGATATAATGTTATTACCAAAAACATTGATGCACAACTATAATCCCAGCTACTCAGGAGAAAGAAGCAGGAAGATCACAATTTTGAGGCTAGCCTGAGCAACTTAGTGAGACTCTGCCCCACAATAAAACAAAAAAGGGCTGAGTGTGTAGCACTATGGCAGAATACYTGTCCAGCATTTGTGAGGACCTGGGTTTGATCCCAGAACTACAAAAGAAAAAAAAAAAAAATGTACCTTTATGTGGTAGGCAAAGATTGTTTACCAGACAATATCTTGGTCGGAGTGACATAATCTTCAGACCTTAACACACTTTAYTCTGTTTGTTTGTTGTTGTTGTTATTGTTTTCCTTTCTTTCACCACGCTGGAGATGGAACCCAGAGTCTCACACACAGTAGATGCATATTCTCTGAGCTACATCTCTACTTCTACACTTTACTCTGATTCAGGTTCAGCAACCAAACACCTACATAATCATTTGGACCCTATTTTTTTTTTTTTAATCCTGGATTAACCCATGACCCTGAGAAGAGTTTGCCCTATGAGGCCTAGCAGGCCTTAGATCACATCTTCAGGCTTTGGATTGCTTAAATCCTGTCTGAAGTCCTGTCCTGTCCCTGTCCTTGTCAAATCATCTTTACTTCTCTTACTGTTTTCCTCAGAGGTTTTTAACCACTGAAGGGTACAGATTTGGGTATTTTGTACATTTATGGATTTGTTGTACCATGAACATAAACACTGGATGGCCATATACATGAACTACCTATTAAATATCTATTATTACCCATTAAGCCATCTCAAACCAAATGTCCATACTCCTACTTTATGACTATTTTGATCTGTTTTCAACAATTAAGTCCAAAGTTTCCAATTTCTCAGTTCATAGCACACTTTRGTATCTCAACAACTTTTTCATAGCACCTCTAGATCAAAAGAAACACCTAATATCTTTCTTTGCCTTTTTTCTCCCTCTAAGTTTGGTTTTGAGTAGTTGATTCATAACAATTTGGTAGCCATTTGAAAAACAGTACAACTTGAAAGAAAATATATTTTTCTTTTTTTTCTAAAATAACCATAAATAGTTACTAATAGGATATGTGCACCTGCTGGGTACTGTACAACTTCTCAAACTTTTTTTATCAGAAAGATCTCCTAAAACTAATATATTTTGTCACAAAAAGCAATGTAGCACAATCTAATGTTCAAACTATGAATGACCTCAAGATAATTATTCAGTGTGCAAGAACTACCAAATAGCTTGGTGCAGTGGTACACTCCTGTAATCCCAGCAACTCAGGAGGTGGAGGCAGGAGGATTGTAAATTCAAGGACTGCCTGTATAATTTACAAGACCTTGCCTCCCCCCCCCCAACCCACTTTCTCTTTCTCTCTCTCACATACAGACCTACACACATATGCATGTATGTAAGTGTGGTGTGTAGGTCTATAGTTCCAACTACTCCAGACCAGAGGCTGAGGTGGGAAGATCACTTGAGCCCAGGAGTTTGATACCAGCTCAGACAACATAGCAAGATCCTGGTTTTGACAARATAAACAAAGATACCCTATAGTGCYGCTACAAGTTTGCACCTTGGTACAGAGTTTGGAAACCATGGCCCCAGTGACTCCATTGCCACCTCATTCTTGAATCCATGTGGTGTAGATGAGGCAAGTAAAAGTTCTACTATGCCTCAGTTTTCTCATCTGTAAAATAGCAATAATAAYAGTACTTACAATAATAGTACTTACTATTTTTGCAAGGACCACATAAAATACCTTTTAAATGTTTAGATAAGTGCCTGGCATTATGAYGAGAGAGAGAATAAAAAAATAGAATATGTGGAATACATGCAAAAAGAGAAATTAAATTGGGACACTTTGGGTCACAGAAGCCAGACATGTGTCTTTCAACCCACTCTCCATGCTCTCCATGCAAGCTAGTTACTACTTGGTTGAAAGGCTGAAGAAAAATTAAAAAAYRGTAAATGTTGRCYATGCTTATTATTCCTCATTGTCTTTTTCTATTTGATCTTTCTAGATTCTCCTAACCATAAATTGGATTTAAAAAATAAAACTAGAGGTACAGTAAGCCTATCAACACTAAATGGAATACCACACTATTTGAATAGCAATTTTGCTTAACAAAAGCTATTAAGCTTAAATAGCTACTAAATGATTTAAATTTAATAAAATTAAGATTAYATAAAAATAAAATTTTAATTTTCTAATCATACTAATTCCATTTCAACTGCTCAGTGGCCATATCTAGCTAGTGCCTACCACATTCCCTAGCATAGAAACATATCTATCACCCCAGAAAGTTCTAATGTAGAGTACTCCCTTTATCTGTTTTAGTCACTGCTACCCTGTATCAACATACAAAAGCTATAAGTGTTTTAGTCTTTATTCTTATGGTAAAGTGTAAGTACTTTTAGAGCTTCTATTGTAAGGAACTAAACAATCATAGGGTGATTATAGTTTATGATGGGCTTATTATTCTTTCTTCAGTCTTCTTATCCTTTTTATCTTCAGAGGGAATCCTGTGTCCAGCACATATTGAGTAACATACCCATTTTCCACCCTCAAGATCAAGAAGTCTTAACAATAGAAAATAGAAAAAGTCTGAAAAAGTGGCAGGGACAGGTTCTAAGGCATTGGGTATTGCCTTGGAGAATGGGGCAGTGTCTCTAGAAAGTGACTCCCCACGTCAACGATTATAGGAGCAGGCTCGGCTTCTATAATGCTATAAGAATTTTTATGGAAGACTCTTAGGATTCTTTAGGTGGGGAGCCTGTTTAATTTCCTCAACTGAGATCTCTCATTCTCTCTAGACCATAAGACAAAATAAGCCCAGTATACTCAACATAAATGAATCCCTTAAACCAGAACACACCCTACCCCACCCTATCCAAACCTCCATATGTTGGCTCACTCTGCGTGTTAACAGAAACCTCTTTGCCCTGAAACTGGAGTAAAGGTTTGTGTTGTTTTCACACAGGTGGTAAACTACCAACTCAGGGGAGAGAAAAAAGAAATAGGGTATGTGGAATACATGGAAAAAGAGAAATCAAATTGGGACACTTTGGGTCACAGAAGCCAACCACTCTCCACGCAAACTAGTTAC